GAACAGTGCTCCTGAAAGCTGAGGGGCTGGATAAAGCAGTAACAGTGCTGATGCAGCTGCTTTAAGGCTGAAGAGAGAACTTCGGAAATAACGAGATTCACCTGGCTCACAGCACAGGTACCACAGCAGAGCTGAGGTACCTCTCACACCTTGGCCTCAGACCAACAGCTGCCCATTTTATTTCAGTCTATCTCTTTCACAATGATGGTAGTGGTGGTAGTGGCAGGTTGGGACTAACTTGGTTCCTTTTACTACTAATAATCTTCAACTGCTGCTTGTATTAGTCATTCTCACACTGCTATAAAGAATACTTGAGACTGGATAATTTATAAAGGAAAGAGGTTTATTGACTCACAGTTCCACATGGCTGGGAGGCATCGGGAAACTTACAAGCATGGCAGAAGGAGAAGGGGAAGCAAGGTACGTCTTACACAGTGGCAGGACACAGCGAGTGACGGGGGAAGTGCCATACTGTAAAACCGTCAGCTCTCATGAGAACTCACTCACTATCACGAGAACAGCAAGGGAGAAATCTGCCTCCGTGATCTGATCATCTCCCACCAGGTCCCTCCATTGACACGTGGGGATTACAATTTGAGATGAGATTTGGGTGGGGACAGAGAGCTTAGCCAAATCACTGCTCAATGTCGAAGCAGAGGATCCAGGAAGCTTTGAATATACGAGTTCTTACATCCCTACTGAGGATGCCCATTATTACCCAGAAAAGGCTGGATGGCAACAAAATCTCATTGTGAAGACTTGTACCTCTTCACATATACTCTGCCACCTCAAATTCCCTCATCTTACACTTCTGTTGCTTCATCTCAAGCCATAAACTTTCATGTTCAGTTGTAACTTGGCCAATCTCTCCTGAGAATAAGATGCAGCAATCAGGGAGTAGGGTTTGGGGAAGAAGTATTTGCCATCCTGAATTCTCATAGGTAGACAACAGAGATAGAGGAGGGGAGGTCTGAAGACTAGGTTCCCCACAATTCAATAAACTTTTATCAAGCCTCAACTCTATCTGCTGTTTTCTGAGGATACAATCAGACATAATTCCAGCATGGAGGCTGATGGTGGAGACAGACACACAACTAATTACAAAACAATATAATTGTGCTTCAACAGAGGGACACACAAGGTGCTATGAGATATCAGAGGCAGGAGGGATTAACTGGAGAATCAGATCAGGCCTTGTGAATGGGCAAGTCTAGCTGAAAGGGGGTGGGAGAGCAACAAGGATTCTGCATAAAGGGCAGCACATGAAAAGAGGTAACAGACAAGTCCTGCAAGGATAGAGACGGGGTAAGGAGGAAAGAACGGCTGAACACAACTCCCAGGTCTGTGGCTCAGCCACCTGGGTGAATGGTAACTACGCAAGGCAGATAACACAGAAGAGAGAGTGAGTTTTATAGGAAAACAAAACAAAACAGTTTTGGTTATGTTGATCCATCTTTATGGGTTTCTTATTAATAATGTTAATAATAGCAATAGCAATAACTGTAATGGCATGGTATAGCAAGAGCAGCAGCAGCAGCTATAACAAGATTGCAGCAGCAATCGTGGAAAAGAATAACTGTTGATACAAGAGTTGGAGAAATAATATTACCTGATTTCAAGATTTACTCTAAAGTGACAATGATCAAGGCAGTGTGGTAAGAGCATAAGGACAGACATAGGGAACGGTGCAGGCACTTCCTATTATGTCCAGTCCTTACGAACACTCTTTATCACATCCATTTACAAGGAAACTGAAGCTTAGGGACTAGCCCAACGGCACATAGCTATTAGTAACAGATTAAAGATTTGAATCCAGGTCTTTTGGATTCAAAGCCCGCAGTTTTTCTTCTACACATCAATCTGAATTTAAGAGGTATATACATGGCCCTTTCCAGTTAAAACCAAAACACCACATCTTACACAGGTCACTGTGATAGGCAAAGTTAGGGAGAGAAAAAGAATCAGTGGCCAAGTTCCATTTATGCCTCTTGTGCAACATATCGATATGCAACCTTCTGCAGGCTCGCTGATTTACTTCAGGCCCTCTATACCTCATGTGGACTACTGGAACAGCTACCAAGCAACATTCCCTGACACCAAACCTGCCCCTTTCCTAATAACCACCCTCTTCACCTACTCCCTACCAAGTCTGGGCCTCACAGTTACAGTCCTAGAATACGGACTGCGTCAATTCTGGGTGTGTGGTCACTTGATTCAGACAGACACGAGTCTGAATCCTGCCTCTGTCATTTATTCCAGCTGTATGATCTTAACAAATCATTTAGCCTTAGATCTCAGGTGCTCATTACTATCGTCTGTAAAACAGGAAAAGAATGTCTAATCAAAGGGTAGTTGTGAGACCTTGATGAGTCCCTATCTGTAAGGCACTTGAAAACTGAGCTCAGGGTAAATGCTCAGCTATTCTTGTTAAATATTCAGTAATGATTATTTACAGCATTTCATGTTCACTATATACTCTATACAGCTGGCCCCTGCATACCTTCCCAGCCTCATCTATCAGTGTTTCCACTTCCTCTCTAAGCTCTAGCCACTAAGCTATCCTTTCAGTTCTCCCAATATGCCTTTTTTCCTTCATTATAAATGTTAATTATTGCGCTGAGACCGGTGGCTTATGCCTGTAATCCCAGCACTGTGAGAGGCCGAAGCAGGAGGCTTGCTTAAAGCCAGGAGATCAAAACCAGCCCAGGTTAACAAAAAAAGAACAGCCGAGTGTGGTGGCTCATGCCTGTAATCCCAGCATTTTGGGAGGCCGAGGCAGGCAGATCACTAGAGGTCAGCAGTTTGAGACCAGCCTGACCAACATGGAGAAACCCCGCCTCTACTAAAAATCAAAATTAGCTGGGCATGGTGGCACATGCCTGTAGTCCCAGCTGCTCAGGAGGCTGAGGTAGGAGAATCACTTGATCTTAGGAGGTGGAGGTTATGGTAAGCCAAGATAGTGCCACTGGACTCCAGCCTGGGTAACAAAAGTGAAACTCTGTATTTAAAAAAAAACAAAAAAGGCCCGGCGTGGTGGCTCATGCCTGTAATCCATGCGCTTTAGCAGTCTGAGCTGGGTGGATCACAGATCAGCCTGACCAATATGGTGAAACCCCATCTCTACTAAAAATAAAAAAAATTGGCTGGGCGCGGTGGCTCACGCCTGTAATCCTAGCACTTTGGGAGGCCGAGGTGGGTGGATCACCTGAGGTCAGAAGTTCAAGACCAGCTTGGCCATCATGGTGAAACCCCATCTTAAACATTTTTTTTTTTTAAATTATCGAGGCATGGTGGCGCAAGCCTATAGTCCCAGCTACTCAGGAGGCTGAGAAGACAATCGCTTGAACTGGGGAAGCGGAGGTTGTGGTGAGCTGAGATCATGCCACTGCATTCCAGGCTAGGCAATAAGAACGAAACCTGTCTCAAAAACAAAACAAAAAAAAGGGCTGGGCGTGGTGGCTCACACCTGTAATCCCAGCACTTTGGGAGGCCAAGGTGGGCAGATCACGAGGTTAGGAGTTCAAGACCAGCCTGATCAATATGGTGAAACCCTGTCTCTACTAAAAATACAAAAATTAGCTGGGCATGGTGGCACGAACCTGTAGTCCCAGCTACTTGGGAGGCTGAGGCAGGAGAATCGCTTTAACCTGGGAGGTGGAGGTTGCAGTGAACCGAGATTGTACCACTGCACTCTAGGTTGGGTGATAGAGCGAGACTGTCTCAAAACAAACAAACAAACAAACAACAATAAAACAACTTATTTAAGAAAAAAAAAAAAGCAAGGTGAATTCCATGAAAATATTATGTTAAGTACAATACAGGTTAGGAAAAACATAAATTGGGAAGTGGAAAGATAATGGCTACAGTTGAGGAACTACTATCTAGCAGAGTAAAAAATGTGTAATTGTGAATACTGTGGGTTAAATTAAAACAAAGTGAAAAGAATTAAAGTCAAATTTTGTTCCCAAACTGACACACATCTGGTAAGAATAAACTAGAAAAAAATAGAAAATGCATAAATACTACTAGGACTGAAGATAAGCCAGAAACTAAAAAAAAGAATATAAGAAATATAATGCTAAAACATTAAATTTATAGCAAATGAACAATTATGTAGAAAAATATAAAGTAACACAACTTAGGAAGAAATACATAAATTTAGAATTGCCATTAAATAAATCTATTTGATAATTAAAAATCTTCACACAGTCAGGCACAGTGGCTCATGCCTGTAATCCCAGCACTTTGTGGGGGCTGAGGTAGGAGAATCACTTGTGCCCTGGAATCCAAGACCAGCCTGGGCAACATAACGAGACCTCGTCTCTTAAAAAAAAATTTTTTTTTAAATTAGCCAGTTGTGGTGGTATGAGCCTATAGTCCCAGATATGTGGAAGGCTGAGATGGGAGGATCGTGTAAGCCCAGGAATTTGAGGCTGCAGTGAGCCATGATTGCACCACTGCACTCCAGCCTGGGTGACAGTGAGACCCTGTCTTAAAAAAAAAAAAAAATTCAGCCTGGGTAACAACAGTGAAACTCCGTCTCAAAAAAAAAAAAAAAAAAAAAAAATTGAATTTTTGATATGTCCTTACTATATTACTATATAATTGAGAAAAAATAAATTATAGCTCCAGGTATCATATGAATGTTTTTTTTTTTTTTTGAGACGGAGTTTCGCTCTTGTTACCCAGGCTGGAGTGCAATGGCGCGATCTCGGCTCACCGCAACCTCCGCTTCCTGGGTTCAGGCAATTCTCCTGCCTCAGCCTCCTGAGTAGCTGGGATTACAGGCACGCGCCACCATGCCCAGCTAATTTTTTGTATTTTTAGTAGAGACGGGGTTTCACCGTGTTGACTAGGATGGTCTTGATCTCTTGACCTCGTGATCCACCCGCCTCGGCCTCCCAAAGTGCTGGGATTACAGGCTTGAGCCACCACGCCCGGCCTTCATATGAATGTTTTTCAGGAACACAATGTTGAGCATAAAAAGCAAGTTTAGAAAAATACCTATAGAGGCGGGAAGCCGGAGTCTCGGGCGTCATGTACTACAAATTTAGCGGCTTCACGCAGAAGTTGGCGGGAGCATGGGCTTTGGAGGCCTATAGCCCACAGGGATTAAAGCCTGCAGTTCCCATAGAAGCACCTCCTATCATATTTGCCACACCAACTAAACTGACCTCCGATTCCACAGTGTATGATTATGCTGAGAAAAACAGAGTTCCGGAGCTGCAGAAGTTTTTCCAGAAAGCTGATGGTGTGCCATCTACCTGAAACGAGGCCTGCTTGGCCAAATGCTTTACTGGACCACCATGACCCTGACTGTGGGAGGGACCATCTACTGCCTGATTGCCCTCTACATGGCTGCACAGCCCAAAAAACAAGTTAGGCTGCAGAGGACGGGTTTGCTTTTTTGGCATAAACCCTTTGAATTTCCTTTTTCATTGTTCATTTTTTTTTTTTAACTTGGATGGCTTAACATTTTTAAAAATGCAAGAAAAATAGGAAGATACGAAGACAATATTTTGGTTTATGAAATGCATATGGCTTGTCAGAGCTCATTCCACAGTTAAAGCCATTGTTTAAAGAAACGGTGCTGTGCTCTGTGTTTGTGCTCCTGATTTCCCTGGAGGTTCTGGGTGAAAGTTGCACACAGACTCATGAATGTCAGTCTGTGCCTCAGGGACTTGAGGTTGCATTTGTTGAGCACAGGATGCAGAAGCCTTTCTGGATTTGGATGTGACTGTGGAAAGAATACAGAAGCCAAGGCCATATGCATAAAATGAGGAGTTGGAGTTAGTAGTCACCTCAGGGATTTTTTCCATTTTGCAGTAAGAAGTTAAAAGAAATTATTTGTGGGGGCCGGGCGCGGTGGCTCAAGCCTGTAATCCCAGCACTTCGGGAGGCCGAGGCGGGTGGATCACGAGGTCAAGAGATCGAGACCATCCTGGTCAACATGGTGAAACCCCGTCTCTACTAAAAATACAAAACATTAGCTGGGCATGGTGGCGCGTGCCTGTAATCCCAGCTACTCAGGAGGTTGAGGCAGGAGAATTGCCTGAACCCAGGAGGCGGAGGTTGCGGTGAGCCAAGATCACGCCATTGCACTCCAGCCTGGGTAACAAGAGCGAAACTCCGTCTCAAAAAAAAAAAAAAGAAAAAAATTATTTGTAATCTGCCTCTGTTCATTGGGCAGTTCATTTCAAAGGGTTATTTGCCTAGTCTCCTGTCTTCAGTGAAATCTTATGTGTAATTGTGTGTATTTATTCCACCATGGGAACAGAGAACACCTGCTTAGTGTTGCACTTTAGACTGGTGTCTCTTATTAATACAGCTTTGCTGCAAATTCTCCTTTATCTTTTAAAAATGTTATAGCTTTAAATTATGACTTATTTTGACTGTGGAATAAATACATGAATTAAAAAAAAAAGGAAAAATACCTACAGAATGACTTCATTTACATAACATTAACAAGCATGGGAAACTAAAGAAGATATTGTTTAGGGATAAAACTGGCAAAATTATAAAGCAAAGCAGACAATGCAGCAATCTCTGGATAGTATTTACTTCCAAAGGAAAAAGGAATGGGATGGAAAAGTGAAGGGCACAGAGGAAACCTCAAATATAAACACACTGTTCTTTTTCTTAAACTGAGGGATGGCCCAGAGGGCTCATTGCCTTGTTATACTTTCTATCATACTCATATTTTATAAATGTGATATTTACTCAATAAAGACAAGTAAAAAACGAATTCCAAATTTACAATCTTCACACAATACCAGCCCTTCTGTTGCTCAAGCCAGAAGCCCATAAATCACTCCTAATAATACAGACTTTTCTCTTGCTCTCCATCCATATCTGTTACATTAGTAAGTCTGTCAATCTCTTCAATATTTCTTAAACTTTTCTACCCACTATTATGTTCACCACCACTCTTGTCAAAGCCTCCATCATCTTATGGTTGAACAACTGCAAAAGCTTCCTAAGTGGAAGACCCTCTCAGTCTCCTAAAGGTCAGAGTCATCTGTTATTCTCCCTTATTCTGTATGTCACTGGCTTTCTTCTAGTTCCTTGAATGTGCTAATTCTTTTATTTGCCTCAGAGTTTTGTTCATGTTGTTCCCTGCTTGAAATCTCTCCCATCATCCCTTTCTCTCCACCCTGAGCACTGCATCAAGTGTTACTTCCTTAAGTGTTCTACGACTCCAAGACTGGATCTGATCTGATGTTTTTTTAATAGGATCCCACAACATCTTACAGTTTTCTTCCAGAACATTCATCACACTTAGTAATTATATATGTGGTTACTGATTAATGTCTGACTTACCCTCTAGACTGTAAGCACCACAAAGGCAAGAACAGTATCCATTTTGCTCACCATAATATTTCAAACACCCATCACAGAGGCCAGCACATAGTAAGGCTCAACTAATATTTTCAGAATAAATGAAGAAACTTACTGTGACAACAGTCTGGACTTCCCTGAGCCCCATTTTTCCAATTATAAAAACAACAGATAGGCCGGGCGCGGTGGCTCAAGCCTGTAATCCCAGCACTTTGGGAGGCCGAGGCGGGTGGATCACAAGGTCAAGAGATCGAGACTATCCTGGTCAACATGGTGAAACCCCGTCTCTACTAAAAATACAAAAAATTAGCTGGGCATCGTGGTGCGTGCCTGTAATCCCAGCTACTCAGGAGGCTGAGGCAGGAGAATTGCCTGAACCCAGGAGGCGGAGGTTGCGGTGAGCCGAGATCGCGCCATTGCACTCCAGCCTGGGTAACATGAGTGAAACTCCGTCTCAAAACAAAACAAAACAAAACAAAACAAAACAAAACAAAACAAAACAAAACAAAAAAACAGATGGTTCTAATTGACATCAAAGGGTCCCTTGAATACCAAAGTTGTGGCCAGGTATGGTGGCTCATGCCTGTAATCCCAGCACTTTGGGGGCCGAGGCAGGTAGATCACTTGAGGCCAGGAGTTCAAGATCAGCCTGGCAAACATGGTAAAATCCTGTCTCTTGCCAGGCAAAAAGTTAGCCAGGCATGGTGACGTGTGCCTGTAGTCCCTGCTACTCAGGAGGCTGAGGGAGGACTGCTTGAGCCCAGGAGATGGATGTTGCAGTGAGCCAAGATAGCACCACTGCACTCCAGCCTGGGTGACAAAGTGAGACCCTGCAAAAAAAAAAAAAAAAAAAAAGACAAGACAAAAACCAAAGTTGTGTGTCTATTGTCCCCCTTCTTCCCTGACCCCAAATGTACTCTCTAACCTTCTGCCTTCTCTGCCTCCTGCTGTCCTCCTGATCCTTGACATTCCAATTCCTCGAGGAAGATTTCCTTAACTCTTGGGCTGAAATGTACTTCCTCTATGGCATATCTTTTTTATTTGAACAATCTAGGGCAGGGTATGGTGCCTCACCCCTGTAATCCCAGCACTTTGGGAGGCTGAGGTGGGTGAACTGCTTGAGCCCAGGAGTTTCAGACCAGCCTGGGCAACATAGTGAAACCATATATCTACAAATTAAAAAAAAAAAAAAATTAGGCTGTTGTAGTGTCATGTGTCTGTAGTCCCAGCTACTTGGGAGGCTCAGGTGGAAGGATTGCTTCAGCCTGGGAGATCAAGGCTTCAGTGAGCCATTCACACCACTGCACTCCAGCCTGAGTGAAAGAGCAAGACCATGTCTCAAAAAAAAAAAAAATAAAAAAGAAAAGAAAAATCTAGTTCATTTACTTGAGACCTCTTGTTTGAGCATTTCTTGTGATTACAGTAGGTTTGAGTTCTATAAACTCAAATCATATATATATATATGTATATATAGCCTCTGAAGGAAAACAATGTCCATGTGGAGATTTTATGTTTATTGAGGGTAGAGAACTTGCCCCCAATCACAGTCATTTATTCATGTAAGATATATTTACTGGGGGCTCCTTATTGTGAGGCAGCAAACTGCAGTAGAAAAAGCATGAGTTTTGGAGTAAGACTTGGGTTAGAATCCAACTCTGTCACTTACTGTATAACTGTGAACAAGGTCAATAACCTCTTAGTCCACTTAGGTATCAGTAAGTATGATAATACTTAGCTAGGAGGAGTATATAAACCTCTATTGACAAAATCTTTCTGTACTGTAATTATGTTATAAGGCTCTGTCTCATTTGAAATCAGTATTTCTCAAAAGATGAGGGTAGGGTGGATGGCACCACCGAATAGGGGGTGGTTGTGTCACGTGATGGGAAGGGCTGGATGTCAATGACTGAAAAATGCTATTGGCATTCAGAACCCAGAGGCCAGGAATGCTAAATGTCCTGCAATGCAATGGACAATCATACAATACAAGTTGTTCTGTTCAAAATGCCAATAAGAAATATGTCACTGGGAAATATGACTTTATTTTTATTTATTTATTTGAATAGAGTCTGTCTGTCACCCAGGCAGGCTGCAGCACAGTGGCACGGTATTGACTCACTGCAACCTCCACCTCCCAGGTTTAAGTGAGTCTCCTGCCTCAGCCTCCCAAGTAGCTGGAATTACATGCACATGTCACCACACCCGGCTAATTTTTGTATTTTTAGCAGAAATGGGGTTTTATCATGTTGGCCAGGCTGGTCTCGAACTCCTGACCTCAGGTGATCTGCCCACCTCAGCTTCACAAAGTGTTGGGATTACAGGCGTGAGCCACCGCGTCCAGCCTTATTTTCATTTTTCAAGACAGTCTTGCTCTGTTGCCTTGGCTGGGGTGCTGTGATATGGTCATAGCCCACTGCAGCCTTGAATTCCTGGGCCTAAGCAATCCTCCCACCTCAGCCTCCCAAACTACAGGTGCACATCACCATGCCTGGCCAAGTTTTGTTTTTTTTGGGTAGAGATGGGGTCAAGCTCTGGCACCCAGGCTGGTCTCAAACTCCTGGCCTCACATGATCCTCCTGCCTTGGCCTACCAAAGTGCTGGACTACAGGCTTGAGTCACTGCGCTGGGCCTCAGAAACACCACTTTATATTCAATAATATTACTATTCATCTTTATATTCTCAGAGTTTAGCATAGCCCTAGTATAGGAAGGAAATAAATGTACATCAATGAAATGAAAAAACAAATTGTAATGATATCATTTGATTATGTGCCATAGAACAAACTGGATTAGAGCCAAGTATGTTAAAGATATATAACCCTGGTCATGTCAGCCACTATTTTTTTTTTTTTCGAGGCAGAGTCTCACTCTGTTGCCCAGGCTGGAGTGCAGAAGGTCCATTATGTGCTTAAAGACATATTTGAGTGGACCAAATGATGTACTTTGAGAATTCCTGACAGGAAAATACTGACTACTTCTGTAAAGCAAGCCTTATTCAGCTGTATGGTCATTTCCATCTGAGTGCAGCCTGGCTAGAACAGGAAATGGAGCAATGTGCACTGCATGAGAAACGTATGTTCAGTAGCCACTCAAGAAATTTCTGGAAGAATTAGTTTTTTACGTATCCCAGAAATCCAGATCTTTGGCTGGGTGCAGTGGCTCATGCCTGTAATCCCAGTACTTTGGGAGGCTGAGGTGGGCAGATTAGCTGAGGTCGGGAGTTTGAGACCAGCCTGACCAACATGGAGAAACCCTGTTTCTACTAAAAATACAAAGTGTGTCAGGCCTGGTGGTGCACGTTGGTAATCCCAGCTACTCAGGAGGCTGAGGCAGGAGAATTGCGTGAACCCAGGAGGCAGAGGTTGTGGTGAGACGAGATCGTACCATTGGACTCTAGCTTGGGCAACAAGAGCAAAAAAACTCCATCTCAAAAAAAAAAAAAAAAATCCAGGTCTTCTCCTCATATTCTACTTACCTTTTGCAAATCACTGGAAAGCTGTCGAA